CATGGTTCCGTTCCTACTTGGTCTATTGGCAAGAAGTACAGCAGTGCTGACTTTGGTAAGATGTTGATCAACTACGGTAATGCTTGCCACCTGGGTAAGGTTTCGGACACCAATGTTGCTGCTATCAACGGTGTTTTGCAACAGATTGACTCTGCCAAGATCTTTTAAATTCTAGCTTTGGCAATTTTTGCAACTGAATATACCCCTTTGACGGTTTATTACCGTGTTTTTTCTTGACTTTAATTCTTATTTTCCAAGTTACACATCATTAAAATTGCAGTGTATTGGTGTTTTTCTTTTCATTTATCCAATTTTAAACATATCCTGTCTTATGCAATTAGTAAGATAATAACTTAGGGTTCCGTTTACCTTATTGAGATGGTTGATTATCAAGCCTTGAGTCAAGTATTGGTGTCCTAGGTCAAGGATTAATATTTAGAGTTAAATATTGATATTTAGAGTTAAATATTGATATATAGAGTCAATCATTGATATATAGAGTCAATCATTGATATAGAGTCAATCATTGATATAGAGTCAATCATTGATATAGAGTCAATTATTGATACCCTGAATCAAGTATTGATATTCTGAGTCGAGTATTGATGTTCAGCAACAATATCGCTCCGCCCTCCTACGTAATCGAAAGTAGTCTAGATCTATGGCACATGTTCCTCTGGTGACATGCCATAACATGAGAATAATCAAAAAGATGTACTCCATATTCAATAAAACAGAAGTCCAATTCAGAGTATAAAAAAGGCTCGAGGCAACGGGGGCCATTGGAATGATGTTAGTGGAGATGATGTTAGATTGGGTAATGGAATTCTCGATTCGGCCCATTTGCCACCCGGCGGGTTTATACACACAGGTTCTTGCCATCTGAATCCCGTTCTAACCCCCCTTAACTCGAATGTTGGTTCATAATGCCATCATCTAAGTAGCACATTTAAACCGACAAACATTGAAGTGTCTTCCAGAAGAGAGATTGCTGGTTTATCTCGCCTTAGACGTGTAAGAGATGCGGCTCCACTGCGTCGGTATATGCGAACCCACGGCTAAACATGTTCCAGGCGTCGTTATGCAGATTATTCCTGTTGGGGCAATGCCATAATAAGTGTTATGAACCCTGACTAAATCTGCCGTAAGATGAGGCATACGGCATTTTTATTTCCTCCAGGTTTGCGGAGACTGGTATTGTTGAAAGCAAAATCAGAAATAGATCGTGAAACCAAATACATTCAAAACCTAAGCACATGGCCCTAGACCTTTTGCGAGAAATAGTTTGCCTATCCAACAAGGATTTCAGACCTCCTGGGCTATTCTAGCAAACTCTGTTATTGAGACCCTTTGTGATTATAACTGCCGGGTGCCAGACTGTGTTTCTAGTGGTCTAACTTGGAATTGGAAAGGGACGGTCTTGATTACTTCCCAAAGTGTTATATCGTCTTCTATACGAATAACGAATTCCGGTTAAGTGCTTTGTTCAACCAAGGCCATAATGTGGCTCGTGTTTTTCGCTTCAAACAGTGCGAGCGACTATCAATATTACAGCTGTCTTTTGCATCTTCTCCGACCATACATCTATTGATGTTTGCAATACTCATAAAACTGCAGGAGGTCGGGGGGTGGGGGGGGTGATGATGCCTGGTACGAGCTTAGTTTATTGCGGATTCGATCAGTAACGTTGGTATTTTAGGAAACGGGATGGGAACTTTCTAATACCATGTGCAACAATACTTTACTTGTGATTTGCCGTTAGGTGATACCGGCTTTGACGTTACGGAAAGGACAGACCTATTGTGATCATGGAACCAAACGAGGATAGTGGGTGATAAAGCAAAATACAGAGTGTATCACTGATATCTCCAGGAGGTGTTGTATATGAAACATGCTGCTGGAGGCCACCACATGCTGCTGGAGGCCACCACACACTCTTGGAGGTTTCATTAGACATGATAAACACACAAATGAAGATAAGTTTGATGGCTTGAGGTATATTGGGAGCTCTAACATGGGAAGAAAATGTGTAAATAATAGGGACACCAAGTATATGGATATTCACAGTAAGCTGTACTGTAAATTAGGTAGTAAGCTTGTATGCAGGCACTTACCTCAGCAGTTTAACCCAGGGCAGAAAGTCAATCAAACAGGACGAATATTTGAGGGAATATGGTTGAATAAGATGAAATGGCTATATTGGAATGGATTATATCGTTAAAAGTGATTATAACGGTAGATGAAGCCGTAATGGTGGCGATATACTAGATGTAATGTTCACATAGTAAGCTGCATAGTAAGTTGCATAGTAAGCTGCATAGTAAGTTGTATAGTTCACATAGTAAGCTGCATAGTAAGTTGCATAGTAAG